ACTACAACAAGCAAATACTAATATTTGGTATCCAGTTCCAATAACAGAGCAAGAAGCTAATACATTGAAAAATGAAAATACAATAAAAAAAGAAGAACTCATTGCAATTATCAATTTAGTGCTTGTTTTACTTTCTAAGTCATAGTGCACAAAATATACTAATTTAAAAAATAAACCAAAAAGTATTCTATTAACAGTTTTACAGAAAATACGAAATTTAAATAATGCTGAAGAAATTGTAGATGAAGAAAATATAATTAGTGAGTTGGCTAGTAAAGAAATAGAAGAAAAAATTTAATAAATCATATATATAGTTCTAAGTAATAAATTCTATTACCTTACTACTGTCATATCGATTTTTAATCATATCCATATAGTTGATAAAATATTTAAATTTTTTTCTTTTAAATTCTTATTAAGCAGCACTAGTAAGACACCAAATAATTTTATCAGTACTGCTTAATTAGTCATTATAAAAAATTAACTGCAAATATTAAAATAACTTAGCTGATTCTGCAAATTCTATAATTAAAATTCTATTAATGACAAATAGATATAATAATTTAATATATAAGATAATTCACCAGTTGAGATTGAGAATCTTTTATTTTTAATTACTACTCATTGAACTTTATTTATAATTTTACATATAGGTAATATTATCACTTAAAAACTATAATCTTGTTACAAATTCGCATTAAATCATTTTTTCACTAAATTCTAACACTTCAATTTCTTTATTCTTTTTATAATACTGAGCTACCTACTAAAATTAAAATGGTTTCTGCTTAATGACTAGTACTTAAGTAAATTTAAACAAAGTTTAACACAAACAAAACATAATAGAAAGCAAAACTAATACCCGAACAAACTTTAAAAAGTTATCTAACTACCTGTTTATGATCACTTAGAACTTAGGCCAATATATGGATTCAACCATAATTTCAGTGAATTCTAAATCTTTAGTACTTGAAATACTAATTTGTAGATTAAATATTTGTCTTTTTAAAAAAAGTTATGTTAGATTTAAATTAAAATTTTGTAAAAACAGCTAATCAAAATTAGATTTATAGATGATTGATAATTATCTAAGTTCTAGAACAAATCTGGAATGCCAAACCAAATTTGGAAAAATTCAAACTGTAATGGTATTTAGATCATTCAAATCAACCTAGTAGATTCCAAGATATTTTGTGAAGATAGTGATCTACAAATTACTAGTTATACAAAGTATTATAATTATAATACTATTTTCACATCTTTGATTCCAAATATCTTGGAATCTACTAGACCGATTTAGATGATCTAAATACTATTAGAACTATAAAAACCTTCTCTACAACTTTAATTAGAAGCCAAGAAAGGTTAGCTTATTAAAAACTTCATTAATTAACTAATTAAATTTAAAAAAATAATTT